CACGCTACTGTCAGGAGGGAGGACTCCATACAGATGTGTGCATGCCGGGGTAAAACGACCCAGCTCAGCACGCTCCGCCGAAGCCATCATTCACTTTCTAGACGATTGGTATGCGTGTCTGTAGGGTCTGGAATGTGAGGAAGCTCCATAGCTTCCTATGGGGGGGTCTGAGGCGGGTGAAGAACACAGACTCACAGATGAGTGTCTCGCCCGCCGGGCCCCCCGAGCCGCCCCCCCCCCACCCCCCCAACCCCTCTCACCCCCCCATAGGGAGCTATGGAGCTTCCTCACATTCCAGACCCTACAGACACGCATACCAATCGTCTAGAAAGTGAATGATGGCTTCGGCGGAGCGTGCTGAGCTGGGTCGTTTTACCCCGGCATGCACACATCTGTATGGAGTCCTCCCTCCTGACAGTAGCGTGTAAACACGTGGAGAGGTGAGTAAAGTCCGGACGGCGGCAGCTGACCGCCTCAGGAGGCCCGGCGGGCCGCAGCTTCCTCTCATATTTTTAGGAACAGCTTGTCACTCATAATGTGGAAAAATGAAGGCTTAATCCACCACTGGTGGACCTCCACCACACAAACAAATCATTAAACCATTTATTTAACATACAGCTTATTTAGTATATTTTGTATTTAGAAATTATTGAAAATAATGTGACAGAATGGATCAATTTCACTAAATGATAGATTATTTCTAAAATTTGATTTTAAAATTAAAAGTAAAATTCATCCAGTGAAGAGAAAATGTATATAGTTTAAATACATTTTATAAAGAGAGATCTTTTCAAATTTCAGCACTTTTAATAAGTCCTTCAGTTCTCTGGCTGCAGGCTGAGCTAATTTGAATGAATATCAACACGTAAAGGGCCAACTCAAAGTCCACACTGTATGCTTTTTGCACAACTGTACAGAGTTGATGTGGCAATGCCAGCCTGACAGGGCACAAAAGTCAGGTTTGTGTCTCCATTTTTAAAGACGCACACGTACGAAGAAGTTACTGCGATGTCAACATGAAGATGGAGAAATAAGCAGAAGTTTCAGAATGCGGCGTTGACGTCATAAAATGTGTGAATGAGAGCGTCTGGATCGTTGGTGTACCAGAGGTCAGAGGTCAGCAACAACAAGCAGCAAGCGTCTGACTCTGGGTGTGTTGGTTTGGGGGGGGGGGGGTGGGGGGGGGGGGGGGGTCGACAGGAAAAGAGCAGCCCTGACTCATCGTCACCTGTCATCAAGACAAAATCAGTGAAAATAAAAACTCATTTGTTAGTTTAAGAAGCTGAGGTTTTTGAGGTAAAGATAGATGTAAAATCTCCCCAAAAAACCCAAATGAAGTTACACATTTTGCCTTCAGGGACGGTGGAGCTGGCAGACCATCAAGTTTATTTAGCTATTTTGGTCTCTCTCAGCTGTCCCTTTTATGTTCCCTTCTGAATGTCTGCTGCTATCGCCCTGCCAAGTAATCCCCTTATATTTAAAGGAGGGGCTCGAGGGGCTATACTGTGTGTGTGTGTGTGTGTTTGGGGGGGGGCGGCAACAGGTGGGAAAGTCTTCATAATTCATAAACACACCTTTGTATTGATGGGAAACGTTGCTTTCACTTGTCAGGCATTTTGTCCTCTGAATCAAGTTCACGGATATTGAAAATAATTGAATTAATTTGACTTTAATGAAGAAACAACACTCAAAGTTTGTTTCCCCTTCTGAAGTTTTCTTTTATAGCTTTTATAAAACCTATAGAAATTATTCTAAATAAACTTTAAATTTGTTTTTTATTCTTGCTTTTTGCCGCCCTCATCCATCTGCTTTTGATTTAAACCTGGTAAAGATTTCAACCTGAAATAGTAAAAAAGCTCGGTTTGATCTGAAAACATGATTATGTTTGATCTGATACTGTATGTGATGATTTCAGACCATATTAAAAGCTACCAAAATCATTTCAGCTCGTGGGATGTTTGTATAACTATTCCTGTTCATGTCCCATCCATCATTCCATCATCTGGATATGAAACAGACACCTTTCTTTATTAAAAGCAATTATTCACATCAGTGACAAAAAAAAGAACCCTTATGAAGATCAATGTTAGACTGTAAGAATTTTCAAAAATATAGGACGTCCTTGTGTGTGTGTGTGTGTGTGTGTGTGTGTGTGAGTGTGTGTGTGTGTGTGTGCGATTTCCAGCCATCCCAAAATACTGCTCACATTTTTCTTCCCCTATGTTTCCTCTTCTGAAATGTGACTGTGGAATTCATCTCAGTGAATAATCTCAGAGCAAATCTGGCCTCTTTGCATCCCTCCAGGTGGAACGTCTAAGACACGAGATTCACAACGTCACAGTTTCTAAAAGACGCCAGCGCCGTGCAGGGCAAAAGCTGCATCGGTAGCTGGGAGCATTAAATACAACATTGCAATGGACATCACAAACCAAAAATAAAGTGGGGGGACTGATCACAGAGCCCCTCTATAAGCAGATGGACAGAAGGAGGGTGGAGGGACAGTGTCCAGTGGTCCAACTAAGCATCTATGCCCTGAATGTCCTTATTAGTCCACGTGGGACTGCAGACCTGCAGCTCGGTCCCCCAGCTATCGGGTTTACTTAATTCCAAGACTCCTGCGTCTATTTTTGATCTCCCGTAAGGTGATACGCCGCCCCGCCATTCTGTCTCCTTCTCTTTTGCCATCAGTTCATCACTGACCATCCTCTCTCACACCCTCTCTCTTTTTTATCCCCATCCAAACTTGAAGCTGCGGCTAAAGATAGACAGGCCGGCGGCGGGGTATATAAGCCCCCCAGCACTGACGTCTAACGCGGGTTCACACAGTCTTGTCTTTCTTGATCACTCAAACCTCCAGTCCTAGCGTCTGAAGATGGTGAGTACCAGAGCGCCCGCTCCTCTGTGTCCGGCCGGACCAAGCCCGCCTGTGGATTTACTGCTTTGGTTTACCTCAGCTTGAATGTCCAGGTTTCAGTAGATCCGACGAAAAGAGTAGGACAGTTTGGAGATAGCTGCAGCTCAAACTGATGCTGCCTTCAGGTGCCTGCTGATCAGTGATTGCGATATCTGGTAACTTCAGATATCGCATGCTAAATCCTGCACCGAGCAGAAAAAAAAGAGACGAGCAGCACGGAAGATTCCCACTTTGAATGATCTAACCGGGAAACGAACCTTTTGTCAGATCAGACATTTTCTCAGATGACTAACGGATTATGCTTGTGAAATTTTCCATGTTACGGAGCACAAAGTTCACAGAAAGCCTCAGACTAACACATAAGAAATGAGAGTTCTGCTGTGGTAAAGTGATGGATTGGTAGGATGTGTGGTGTAATGGCTTTCACAGCTGTCTTTAGCTCCCACAATTTCCCGTTTACGTTTTTCCCCCAGTCTCCAAAGAAGGCCAAGAGGAGGGCAGCAGCCGGAGATAGCGGCTCCTCCAACGTGTTCTCCATGTTTGAGCAGAGCCAGATTCAGGAGTACAAGGAGGTGAGGCACCGAGACTCCATCCCGACGGGAGGCGGCTGTTTCTCCCCCACGAGTATCACTGAATCAGACGGGGAGGATAGGGGTGGGGAGGGTGGGGGGTGAGGGGGGGTGGTTTGATACTGGCACGTTAATGTGGGTTGGTTGTCAGAGCCAATTCTGAATGTGATTTAGAGAAGAGTTCCCCATCCCTCGCCGCCTCCTGTCCCCCGACAGTTCAATAAGAAGGGGAATGCCATTAGAGGGAGGGCCACATTTCCACACCATCCCAAGCGCTCCGTATTTTGCTGACCTTTGACCCCCCCCGCTCAGCTGTCACTCTGACAGGCATTCAAAAGCTCTCTCTGAACACGCAGAGCAGCCGGAGCTCTCTGTTTTGATGCTCACCCTGGATTTGCGTTCGCTCAAAAGCAAACAAGCGCGTGCGGCTGCTGGGCGTAGAGCTGAATAAGACCATGGAGACTTTTACAGAGAGTTTTACACGAGTGCGTTTTCCACGCGTTGCCCAGGGACGCGCGTCCCAAACAGAGGAGGCATTCCTGCTGCGATAGGTGATCCGGGCGTCTGGAAAAGCATGACACCACGCTGAGGACGATCTTAGCACTTTGCGCGGACGGAAAGATACCAGCCAGAGGGGCCGTATTTGTAGCCATCAGCGAAAGGGAAGCCTGTGGGAGAGAACGTGTGAGAAATGGGAAGGCGAGATGAGAGAGGAGGGGAGGAGAAAGGTCAGCGGCTGAGTTCAGGTCCGAGTCCTGGAGGTTATCTTAGGTTTCACGGCCGTATCGGAGAGCAGATCAGACAGCTGTTCCCCGATGATACTTTCCCAAATTAACATGTAAGAAAAGACCGGGAGGCGTTTTTAGGCCTGCGCAATATCCGCTAACGACGTTTGTACATAACTTGGACAAAGATACTCCCCAGCTGCCAGGCAAATGAGCAAACCGTTGACAGAGGACTTTGTAGAAAGGGGAGAGTCCCCCCCCACGCCGCCCCCCCCGGCTGTCTAAACATGTCGAATCTGTCCCACTTAAGCCGGACTCTCCCTCCCCAGGCCTTCACAATCATTGACCAGAACAGAGACGGCATCATCAGCAAAGATGACCTGAGGGATGTGCTGGCCTCAATGGGTGAGTGGCCTCAGGGCAAAGCTTCTCCGGTTTTACCTCGCGTCCTCCTGACTCTCACGTTTGCACCGTCCAGGCCAACTGAACGTGAAGAACGAGGAGCTGGAGGCAATGATCAAGGAGGCCAGCGGCCCCATCAACTTCACTGTCTTCCTCACCATGTTTGGAGAGAAGCTGAAGGGTGAGCATGGAGTTTCTTAAAAATATAGATGGCTTATTTAGAGTCGGAGAGAGTGAAAAAAGGTAATTCAGCCAGGAGAGGTGGTCAGAAATATTTACAACCCACCGTCAGACCAATTCTGGGTTTGAGCAACAATTTAAAAAAAGCCTTCTGTTGTCAGGTGCTGACCCCGAGGACGTTATTCTTGCCGCCTTTAAAATCCTGGACCCCGAGGGCACTGGATCCATCAAGAAGGAATTGTGAGGACTTTTTAAAATCATTTTACTATCCATCACTCACATCCTAATTAGGAATGGATTACTGACTTCCAAACTCTTTGCATCTTCAGCCTCCAGGAGCTCCTGACCACCCAGTGCGACAGGTTCTCCGCAGAAGAGGTAAAAGCCCAAACTGTCCACCTTTTCTTTGTGTTTGCAGGGAGCACAAAGCCAACTGGAACTAACTAAAATATCAGATTATTTATCCCTCCTTGATACAAATCAAATGTATTTGCAACATCAAGGAAACTACTGGTTTCTGGTTGGATCACATTCTCCTCGTTCCTTTAAAAACACATCCTCAAATCCAGAGTAATGCAAAGGGGATTCTTTAATGTTGGATTACTTTAGAGTTTTAACCTCTCCGGACAGAATCTTGTGTGCGAAAAGTGGACTGATTGATCTAAACTGGTGTCTTTCCTTTAAAAGCAGATGTGACTCTTTAAAAAAAAAAAACCTCCCTGGTTTGAAAACTGTCCCTCCCTTGTTTCCTCTCTCAGATTAAGAACATGTGGGCCGCCTTCCCCCCAGATGTTGCTGGCAACGTAGACTACAAAAACATCTGCTACGTCATCACACACGGAGAGGAGAAAGAGGAGTAAAGACACAGCGAGAAGCCAAGAAAGACAGCCATCCCTTTGCTTTCTACCTTCCCCTGCGTCCCCTTCCCTCCTTCTTCCCACTCCCCCTCTGTGTAGCCCCCCCGTGCTCGGCCACTCGCGCCCAAACCAAAGACTTGTCACTCTGACGTGAGCTGGCCGAAGTCTGCGGGGAGTCTGTGTGTTGGCTTATGGGGAATAGGGATGATTTTCAATAAAATGATCCTGTAACATCATTTCCAACCTCAAGCTTTACTCAAACCACCTCACTTTCCTTCTTCTTCTTCTTCTTGTTCCTCACCTCTCTCTGCCCTATCAGCTCAGCCTCTGACGTGTTTGTGTGAACGCGCCCCTGCGCCTCCCTCCTCCTCCTCGGAGGTGGGGGGGGCAGGTTCATTTCAGAGGGGCTCGCCAAACACCAGGACCTCATTCCAAATTTCGAAGATGTCCTCTCGGGTAGAACGAGTGACATGTCGGGGAGAATCCTCAGAAAACACGGAGGGGAAAAGAGCCGCGTCCCTTAAAGTGACGACGGCTTCCTTTCCCCGACGTGTGAAGAGTCTGGAGGAGGGGAGAGAAAGGGTGAAAGAAAACATTCACGTCTTCGCTTTCTTTCCCTCCGCTCCTTCCAAGTAAATCATCTTTCTTTCCATAAGCTGTCTCAGATCCAGCATCTAAACTCTTCCCCGCCTTTCCTCTGTCATGAATAAAAGGGAAAAATGTGAATAAAAACCACCTTGCTTTTGTACACTGGTGTGTGTTCAGTGGCTCTATGGGTTTAGGGTTCCAGGAGCTCCCCCGGGAACATCTGAGCTCTGGGGACATCTGATGGAGCGGCTTTTTATGCAAAAAGCTGGACCACAGCTGTCTCCAACAGCTGCAGCATCCGTCTCCTCATTCAAAATTGAGCCAACAATGACTGACATACCCAAAGAATTATTTAAAAAAACAAAACATAACAGCTTATTTAACCCTGTCAAAGAAGACAGGAGCACAGCATCATGATTTAATATATTATGGTTTATTACTCATCACAAATGTCATTATTGTCATTATTTATAAATACAGATGTTGATCTGAAGGAATGAATTAACTTAGCTATGATTTTATTTCACTTTCGCCAGAGAGAGAGTGACATGTAAACTTAAAGACACAAAGACATAACGGCATGGCGAGAAAAAAAAAAAACTGCTAACGTGCGTTTTTTTTAAGTCAGTGAGGTCATTCCCAAAGAAGTGTAGTAGAGAATAACGAGTGGATTGAGATGGATCCTCTTAGCTGTCCCCTCCTGCCGGCCGCGTGCTGGACCTGTAACCGGTGTCACGGTTGTTGGATCATCACGTCTCCTCAAAGCGACGTGAGGAGGCATTGCTCATTAAAAATCAGTCCACGGGCCTGAAAGCATACTGAGAAACCACCTAAAAAATAACTTTAAAAAAAAACAGCCACTGAAGCACAGAATGGTTTCCTTAACAGGGCCGCTCCGATAAAGCCGCCGCACACATCGACAGACGGGCTTGCATAGATGTGTTTGGGTTAAAGGACACTAATCTGTGCCCACAGCGGGGGGCAAAACGGAGCAGGGATTAAGAGTAACAACTCCACATCGAAATGTAAAGGCCTGAAACAGTGAATATGGAGGATATGTCGGCTACAGTTAGGTGAAATTCCCGCTAATTATTAACTACGAAACGGTATAGTTAGAGAGCATCAATGTTTTTAGCCACCAAATGGTTTGTGCACTAGCTACCCAACACTATTCTCTGTATACTGATGGGTGTCAGTGCCATTCGACGTATGCATAAATACCTTACAGTACAGAACACTGAGTGTAAATAGATTAGGGAGTTAGTTCTTAAGTCATTATGAATGGTATTTCACAAACCGGTGAGACGAACATACTGAAGATCTTCAGTTAAGAGCCACGAGCTCACAAATCACCTCTTAGTATATCATACAGTACAGAGACTTTTTCCTCCCGCGGATCCTGAATGCATCTCTCGGCGCTCGCTTTGTTCTGTCCGAGCTTAATACTGCACTTCCAAAAAACTGGAGACTTGTGAACCTAAATGACCAAACTAAGTGGCGGTAAACTTAAATAACAGCGCGGACATGCAACAAGTTTGTGGTGTGAAAGCAGAGGATTCGACGTGCAAAAAAAAAAAAAATGAACAAAAAATAAAAGATCCTCTTTGTGTCATCTGCCATCGTTCCAGTCCAACAGGTATCGCCTAGTCATTTAGAAAAATAGTAAGAATGAAAAGAATAATTCATAATATACTATATCTGATTAAATTAACCACTTTATACATAAATACACTTTGGCCCGCAGGTCAAAGGTCAGAGGTTAATGCTACATTGGCACACCTGGCAGCTCTGGTCAAGTGGCTTCCTATAAGTCCTCAGAGAAGAGATTTCTCCATTTCTATGACAACTTCAGGGGGGCTTTGTGACGAAAATCACAAGTGCAAATTAAATCCTTCATTCTTTTAAATGCTCGAGATCACATTCTAACCACTCGACGGACTCAAGTTCCCACCCGAGCTGAAATCTGGCTAAAAGAAACAAACAAATCCAACCACTGTACAGGCGGCTTCTGGCCAGCATGCAGACTTTCTGCCTCTTCTTCCTTAACAACGCTGCAGGTTTGCAGCTGAATTCAGTCATGGCTGCAGTGAACTTAAACCTACATCTTTAAAAAAACAAAAAAAACAATAAACAAGCCGTGCACGCTCACGCTCGCGTTTGTTTGTCAAGAAAACAAACAAACAAACCATTTAAAAAAAAAACATCTCAGGTTTTACTTCTCCCCCTTTTTCTTGTGTTTCCCATCAGATCTGCTCCAGCGACAGTAAGCGAGAGGGAGGGACTGGGGATCTGATGTCAAATAAAAAACGACAGCATAGGGAGAACGCACACACAACAACACGGTTCACTGGACTACTAAGGCACACACTCACTAACAACAATTAACAAGACAATAAATACATCCGCAACAACATGGTCCTCAGTGCCTGCAATTGAGATGACTTCAATAGGTTTTTTTTCTGTTTTTTTCCCAGATATTCATATAAATCAGAACAGGTGGAGTGTTACCTGGATCCTATGAACTGTAGCTACACACTCTATGGCACTATTTCTGAACACGCGGGGTCGAACCACCCGACGACTAACAACTGCCACCAATCTGTCAAGAACCGGGACGAAAAAAAAAAAAAAAAAAAAATAAAACAGAAAAGGACTGTGGGTTTCTGAAGACGTGTTCAGATTCACAGCCTCAGCTCCAGTTGGAAAAGTGAGATTTGTCCCAGGTCAATAAAACTCAGTGAAAAAGAAAGCATCACGCAAAAGGCCGAATGCCCCTCCAGGTGCTGTTAAAACCACCGTCCCAGTCCGAGGACCGGGACGGGTCAGTGTGCTCCACGTCCCATCTTCTCCATCAACTCCTCCCTCTGGTTCTGGAGGTCTTTTGTTCCTGACCTCTTTTTTTTTTTTTGCTTGGCCTCCCTTTTCATTATCTGGGAACGACGGGGTGGAAATTAGGCCGAATCTTTCGCTGCCGTCGCTCCGTTTTTGTCCTCCGCCTCTCCTCCGCCTTTGTCCTTTTTCTTCCCCCCTTTCTTCTTCTCTCTTTCTAGCCTCTCCTTTTCCTTCTTGAGCCTCTCCTTTTCAGCCTTTTCCTTTTCCTTCTTTTCCTTCAGTTTTTTCTTCTCGTCCTCTTTTTCCTTCCTCTTGTCCTCTTTGCTCTTCTTCTTCTTCTTTCCCTCCTCCTCTCCCGCCGTGGCGTCGGTTGAGGGCGCTGCTTCTTTCTGAGGCTCCGCGCTCGGCTGCAGAGGGGCGTTGTTAGCGGTGGGAGAGGGCAGACTTTGACTGATGCGCTCGGAGACGATCACGGGGGAGGGGGACAGAGTGTTGGGTGGGGTTGTGCTCTGAATGGGGGCAGGAGGGGCAGAAGCAGCCGGTTGGAGATGTGCTGACGGGCCCTCTGCAGCTTGGGCCGGTCCGTGGGAAGAGGCCGGTTCAGCCCCGGCTAACGGACTCTTGACATGGGGCGCCGGCGGCTTCTGACCGGCTCCCGGGGGGATGGGGGGCTTCTGTCCGGGGCCCCGGCTGGGGCTGGACGTCAGCGCAGAGGAGGAGCGGGCGGGCATGGCCTCCATTCCCGACGGCCCTGAGAAGGAGCCCGTCTTGGCCTGGGAGTGGAAAGGGGCCCGGGACTTTCGGAAGCCGGGGAGGGAGAGGAGGCTGGAGGAGGCCCTGAGGGGTCCCGGCGGGGGGACTGGACTCCCGAGGAAGGAGAAGCTGCCCCCAGAGCTGATGGCCGCAGCCCGCCGCTTGAACTCGTAGATGGCTCTGGTGCCGTGGAGTCGGCGGCCCGGCTGGTGCGTCAGCTCCCCCCGGGACTCCCTCCACTTCCGCACCTGGACGCTGCACTCCCGCTCGATGAGCGCCTCGGTCACGGGCAGCGTGATGACCTGCAACCAGGCAGACGGGAAGTGAGGCGCGGCGGGCTGAGCGGGACGCGACGGCGTGACTCAGGGCCGGTGCCTCCGAGTGGAAAAACAGAAGCCGGGCCAGACCGTTCGCACACACACACAGACACAGACACACACACACACACACACACAGACACACCCACCTCCTGCACCAGCACGTCCTCCCGGATGGTGTCGGGGGAGATGTTTCGGAGGCGCTCCATGGTCTCGTACATGCCCTGGAGCTCCCGCAGCTTCTCCACGGAGCCCAGCATCTGCTTCAGCAACACCAGGCCCACGCGAAACACTATCTTCACACCTGCGAGCAGATCGGCCTTTTAGGCGCCGGGCCGGGGAGGAGAGACAGACCCGGGCTGTTTGAAGCTCTACCTTCGCAGAAGAACATGTCCCACACGCGCAGCACGGAGGACCACGGCAGCGTGCGCGAGAAGATGCACATGAACCACTCCGTCATGTAGAGGATCGGATCGATCTTGAACTTCTTCAGATGGCGGTACGCCATCGGACACGTCCGCCGCAACAGGGAGAAGAAGATCTCGCCATCCAGCTGAATGGCCTCCTAAAAACGAGATGTGGGAGGTCAGTGAAGAGGAGGGAGGAGCCGGATAAGAACAGAGAGGGGGTTCTTCACTCACCAGCCCCGCACTGTAGTAGCCCGGAAGATACTTCTCGCATATCTGCACGAGGCACCAAAACGCTTGCTGTGAAGCAAAACACACACCAAACATTAAGAAGAAAAAAACCACAAAAACACCACACAGATATTTCCTGAAACATCCAAAATCCTGCTCTTATTTCAAGCTTTCACTCTCATGTCTGGGGCTGATTTAGAAGCTCGTTCTGCCTTCACCCTGTTCGTCTGTCTGTCGTCTGAGTCCTTCTGTTAAACTGTTGCCTGACACTATTTAAACCTGACCACACTTTCAGAAGGCACAGTTTTGTATTTTTACCACAACACAAAGCATTAAAGTTCTCACCAGAATGACCAAAGCCATTTATTAATAGAGCTGAGCGAGCTAAAGTTTGAGAGTCAGACAACAGATCCCCTCTGAAGCTGTAGTTTGAGTGTCACCCCACCCACTCTCCTCTGTGGTGACACAATCAACTTTTTCTTATCTATCTATTTCTTCTTAGGTGTTGCTTCGGCTCTGTTTAACGTTTGAGATCAGAAAGTGAAGCAGACACAATTGGGTTCACTCCAGTCCGCTGGTAAACACGACATTGCACAATAACATGACATCAGAGCTTTTCAGGAACTGAAACACAAGAACTGGTTGATTTCCGACATAAACCTCCCACCTCTGCAGGCATATGCATTAGCAGCACGGCAGCCACCGGGGCCTGGGCCTGGCAGTAGCCCTCGTCTGGCCGGTAGATAGTGTAGGCCTTCAGGATCCGGTACAAGTCCTGTTGTCTGTGGGAACAAGCAGGAAAATGACCCGGGAGCCAAAAGGGGAAGCCCTGTACTGAAACTCTGTGTCCTTAAACTAAACTTGTATTCAGGCACAGTTTATTCAACAGATTTTGAGCATTTTCACAACGATGCACACAGAAATACAGATTAGACTAAATACAAAAGGATTTTTAGATAAGTGGACAGCCTGAGTTGTTACTTTTCCATTAATCATGCAGCTTTACTGTGTAGAAAACAATGTAGGGGCTTTACCCGTGGCCACCACGAGCAGCAAACATCTCGTGAAAGGGAAACTGCCGGTGCAGATCCTTCTCTATGATGTCCAGCCATTTGGCCTCGCCCGGCTCTCTTTCCAGCTCCTGGTGATCAACGTGGAAAGGATGAGTTTCAGATTTATTGTTAAATGGGATACATTTGATTCCATTAACTAGCCAATTAAAGAAGGTAACACTACAACGCCTTTAAGCTACATTAAATGTGTAAGATAATTTTTTTCAACACATAAATGTGGTCAGAAAACTGTTGGGCCCCAGGCCAGCTAAGGCCAGACCCCCGGCTTGGACAAAGGGGGCAGGACCCGGGCACGGCGGATTACAATCCCTGATAAGAAGCTTACAGATCACTTGATCCGCATCTGCGCCCCGTTAGCTGAGTGAGGTCGTTTCAGCTCCAGGGGTCCCCACGTTAAGCCAGTCAAAGTCAAAACACTGTGGTGCGTTCACTGACCTCTCCGTTAGGCACGACAAACGACTGTTGGAGGGATCCCAAAACTACAATGATCAAATAAAGTATGGCACCTCAAATTTCTGGGGGTTGGCCCTCAGGAGCTCCTCGCTGTTGGACAGCAGCTGCCAGGCTTTGGCCCTGAGAGAGGAGGGGATCCCCTTCCTGCAGCGCAGCTTCACCTGTGACGCACACACACACTCTGAGCCTCAGCCGACAGCTCTGCCATGCCAGCCACAGAAAAAGGGTCCTACGTACCTTCTGGAAACGATGTTTGACCCACTTATCCCAGTGACAGAACATGTCCAGCCATTTCATCTCCCTCTGCCGGGCAACTTCCACTCGAAGTTCCTTTTCACTGCAATGAACAATATAACATTTCTCAACAACTGACAGGACCGAGAAGTTGTTTGTTTTTTCACTTCTCGGTCTCCTGAACATCACAATTCTGATATCTCTTATCTGACACAAAACAATTACCTCACATTGTTACTGTCATTTGCACAATGTTATGCTGAATTACACAGTCACAGATCACTTGTAACAGTGAGCAGGAAGTGCAGCCACTTCTGACGGTGCGTCGATAAAATCTTAATTATTTATCAGCAGAAGTGCAATTAGCCTGTCAGATCGACAGAGGCAATTCTGACCAAAAGAGTGAGGAAGAGCTGATGGGTGTGGGGGGCGGGGATGCCACAGAGACAGAGTGTCAGTACACACTGACTCACAAAATCGCTCTCAGCATTATCTGAGTCAGACCAAGGGGAGAAAAAGGACAGACAGTTATGTTTAGAGCAGCCAAGTATAAAAGGAATACAGGAAAAAGAGGCTGAGACTAAAAATAAAGGTCACATAGATCTGGGCGGTTAATTGAAAGGAGCACAGCTGAGCCAAAAGTCCATTTATCTATAAAGGCCATTTCTGTTGACCTTAAAGATTAAGCATTATGGTAAACACTTTGACTTTCACCTCCCTCACGAAAGATATCTCAAACCAAGATTTTCTACATAATAAAAATGAGCAAACATGATAAGCACTTTGCACAATAACAGGGAGTGTGAGTGACTCTACGCCCTGTGACTTACGCTGATTCGCTGTACTGGTTTCCACCCAGGAAGCCATATTTATCCGTGCGTCTGACAGTCAGGCCGTTGATCTCCGAGTCTGAACCCAGAGAGCTCCCATCTTCTCCCAATCCAGACAAAGACTCCAGCGTCCCTGACATCAGGCTGGCTGACTCTAGGTAGCTGAGGCTGTCCGGGGCCGGCCGCGGGTTGGGGTTTGGAAGCGGGGGGACAGGTTCGTGGATCAGTGGAACCGTAGGGCTGGGGTGTCCAACCCTGGTGGGGGAGGAGGGCAGCTCTCCCTTCCTGACTTCATTGGGGGTGTGGTGCATTGGCGACAGAGGAGGAGGGTCGCTTTGAGCGTTTTGTGCTTGTTGGAGTGGCTGAGGTTTCTCCCCGTCAGTTCCTGAAGCTGCCAACGGAGCGGGCGGAGTATCAGCATCTGAACTCTTTTGGGGCTGAGCCGCTTTAAGATGACCATCATCCACAGAGAGGTCTGGGTTACAGGTGACATGAACATCAGGGTACAGATTGGGACCGGGATGCACTTCAGGAGAGGGTGATGCCTGGAGCACATGTCTCTGAGATGAAGTCTCACTGGCCGGCTCTAAAGTCTCAGTTTCAGTTATCAGGAGCTCAGCAGCAGCTGAGTTGCCAGCCTCCGTTTCAACTTTATTAACATAAGCTGCCGTTTCTGTATAGTTCTCTACCAATTCTCCTCTTTGTGGAGGAGCCTCGTGTACCAAGGGTGGGAGGCAGGTCTCAGCAGGGAGCTGTGTGGGATTTGTAGGTGGGTGGGGAGTCAAAGGTGAACTCCCTGAGAGTGCTGATGGATCGCTTCCTGTCAGAGCTTTATCATTGTAAAGGGAAGACTTGGGTAAGGGCACCTCCTTGACAGACTCGGGGGCAGGGTTGTTGGAAGCAGGGAGTACTGGTGGAGATGGAGCAATGGATGGAGTTGCATGAGGATCACCCAAAGCAGGTGGCGATGGGGAGAAGGTGGAGAGCTCAGCCATGGCTCCACTCTCCTTCATAAACAAAGAGAAAAAGATAGTTCACTTACTAGAGGATCAGTCAAAGTTCCTGCACAAGTCAATGCTTTCACTGATTTTGAAGAGTAATATTTCAAATAATATCTAAAGCCTGAGCACAGACTATAAAAGCATTGAAGAATTTGTTGTCACTAGAAACAATAAATACCACAAAAAAACCCCCATTAATCTCGACACTGAAACCGCACACATATTAGCAAAGTAAAGGCAGATTCCTCAAACTACATTTCCTCTTTTTCTAGAAACTCATTTATAATGCAGTTTAATGGCCGGCCTACGTTTTAATAATGAAATAAGTGCTCGGTGGAAAATACGCAAGATATTAGCAAATATCCCACTAAAAGCTCAGAGATTACGGCTACTGTTTACCACCATTCCGCTAAAGTGGTTGTCAATAAGCTGTTTACAGAGGCGTAACAACAGTTTCGGGTGCCATGGCACACGCATGGGGCTGTAACACTGTCAACAAAACGCCTGGACACCCACGGAGAGCCTGAGTAATGCTGATAAAGCAGGTCCCAAACGGGGATGGTTGGCCCGCACAGCCATCGCTTCCACGCTGAATAGCCCCACTCTCTTTTGTTTTCATCCTTTAAAGTGGTCGATGCGATTCAACTTCCCGATTCATCTCAGTGTTAGGCGGTATGGCGATAGCTGGCAGTTAACACCCTCGACGCTCACCGAGGCCCTGGCCGAGCAAGCGTCAACGGCCTTGTCCTGCCAAGTGCCCCCGGTCAACTCCAACTTCATCCCCGCCTAGTTACTCACCTACTGCCGGCGTGTCAGTGCGGTTGGTCCGCCTGGGGAGCCAGGGGGGTCCTGCGGGCGCCTCGCCCCCGCCACTGCTTCGGTTCCGTAATCTCCCCCGGTCGATGAAAACACACAAGAGCGAGACGACTGGAAACCGTCGAACGGCGCGAGCGGTTGGAAAAGCAAACGTCCTGCAACCAGCAACGGCTAGCTAGCTAGCCGAGTTACAGGCTAGCTAAGGCAGCTAATTTTAGCCCCCTGTAACTGTTAGCATTAGCGTTGTTAGTGTTCTGTTTCTGTTAGCCTAGCGAGTAGCACAACGTCTCGGCTCCCGCGGTTAGATAAGCGAACTTTCTGCCGTTGCTTTCATCAAATTAAGGCCTCCTTCTTAGCAATACTTTACATTATGTACCACAATAAGTCTAGTATTGTGGATTTATCCAGGCATAGCGGGAGGGTTTCATCCAACACGGACAGCTTGCATTTCCTACTGACAGCTACGTGCGTGTTCTCGTGAATGTCGTCGAGCACGCTCACGTAAAGGAGCCTCCCTTCCACAGAGCAGAGGGTGCAACTGTACCTCTTTCAGCATATGTTCCACCTTAATTTATTTTGATTTGGTTAGATTTTTTATCCTCTAAAATGTTTAAATTCAGTGAAACTGAATGTATGTTTTGAAGCTACTTCACACCGAATGAAATTCCAGAGATATTTCTGAAATTCAACACTAATTGGAGGCTTGATCACATATTTATTGGAATTTAAAGTAAAAACACGTGCCAGTTTTTTAGTGCGATGGTTTGATAAAACGTGCACATCAAAACATACAAAACTTGAATAAATCTGCAAGTGTTGTTTGAAACCACTAGATGGCGACATCTTCAATAATTAGATCAGCTTTTTCTGTTTCTGTGTAGTTTATGGTTTGCCTCAAATCAAAACAAGCACACCCACATACTGAACATTCATGTGTGGTTTACACTGCCTGTTGGGGACCAACCCAAAACCAATTAATTTGTCCCCTTAGAAACATACGTTCTGTCCCAATACCAGACTTACCCGTGCTTCTGCGTACACACCTCTAACCTTAAACAAGCTTGAACCTTTAACATGGAGACATCTTTTCATGGTAAGACAATTCCTTATATATATTTTGAAATATTTCATATTTTGGTCCACAAAATGCATGTGCTACCATTCATGCACACACAAACCAGAAGTCAGGTTTCAGTGATGTGTGAACATATAATGAAATATATGTATATAAATACATATAAATATATGTAACCTATTGCCATGAATCTCAATGGTTATACAGCAGGTCTGCAAGAGCAAGCATTAAAATAATAATCTGAATATTCATAGGAAAAGGACAAAGAAACAGGTTATATGTACGCATGGTGAGTCATTGTCCTGCTCTCACAGGACATGTTGTAGTAATTGTTATGGAACCCAAACAAAGTGTAACGTCATATTATGCAACAGGGAGGGTTCCCTTTTCTGTTAGGGAAAGAATCTATCCAGCAAGTTATAACAAGTTTGCGCACCAATATGGAGAGAGGTCCAACCCTATAACAATGCGTTTCCAGAGCAACTGAATGATGAGGAGGGAAAAAAAAACAGTCTCCAAGTGGAAATGTTGAGACGCATGAACAGAAAGAAAAAGTATTTCCTACTTTTCTTTGTTGTGTTTCTAGGCGGTGCAGACTTTTAAAGATGAGGTTTCTGGTGTACCAAAGTTTATGATAATAATGGCAGTCATGGAAATATTGACATTACAACAAGGTCCTTCCCCGTTATGCAACACAAAACACAAAGATACACTAAAAAAGGAAATGAGGGCTAAATTAAATAGATTTTTATTTAAAATGAAAAAGGATTATAGACAAACATTTCACAAGTGTTTAAAAAAACATTTATGAATCTATTATACATTAAAAACATAATGTTTTAAATGCTTGTAAATCATATTTACATTTGTCATAGCTTATATTATTTGAAAATCTCAATGATTAGAGTTGAATGTAAATACTAGCAGAAGCCCTGAGTGGATGTGCCAGCGAAAATACTGTTTTCCTCTTATTTACTGAATATTGTGTTAGATTTACGGCTAAAATGCACCAGAGGAATTTTTTTCAACGAATCCAGCACTGAGTTTTATGTCAGAGGATGGAGCATTCTTCTGCTTTTGGAAATAAGTGCAGATTATTGCGTTGCAGAGCTTCATCTGACTTCACTGCCACTTCTTTGGACGTTAGTAACTGATGCACTGTGCGTTGACTTTTCGTCAGGAGCATTTGGGCTTCTCTAGGGGAAAGGTGCTGATCCATTTCTGCGTTCGGGCGAGACACTGGTCCCAGCTGTAGAGCGGGCGGTACTGGAAATACCGCTCAGCTTTGTCTGTGAGAACTGTGAAGGTGGTGCTGGCCACCGCTAAAGTGAAGCGGTTCAGCAGAGGCGTGTAGTTGCACACTGGGCTCAGTAACCAGTGCAGGAGGTCGTTGAACATGGCCAGGAACCAGAGCACCAGGGCGGGCATGCGGGTCCTTCTGAAGTTGAAGGCAGACAGCAGCGTCATGTTGAAGTCCTCGTAGCTTTTGTAGGGCGACTCGTCGTAGCAGAAGAAGGCCTCCCCGCCCACTTTCTGGGGACGCTCCCTCAGGGCTCTGGCAGCAAGAACGTGCATCCACGCCACGTTGCCTAACAAAGAAAAAAACAAATAAACAAAAAATTCAGACTTTTAAATAGTTGTTACATTTTCTGAATTCACAAGTTTTAAGAGACAGTGATGATTTGGGATCATTTTAGACACACGTTTGACTAAGTGGGACAAGAAGTCACTGGATGCTTTCTGAAAGGTATTCCCCAAATTTAGGGATTTACCTCCATTAACCTCTAATCAAAACCAACATGCTAACGCAAAGTTTTTCCATCCATTTTTTTTCAAAGTTTCATTGTCTTTTTTGTCTCATCAATTGAAATCAATAAAAATAAACATGCGAGGCTGATATTTTTAAGAATATGGTGTGTATCTTATAATACTGTCTTATAACTACAGCACATATTCGGTTGAAGTTAAAAACAGAATAAACCTATTATGCCTGAGCCAGGAAGGGAAATTCTCTTTTTTTGAATTTGTTTGATTCTTTAATAAAATATCCCAAATAAAATAATTGAAAGTAATATTACATTTTGCGTGGACTTTGATAAATATTTTATTCTTCCTCATGAAATATATGTCGGAACTATGACTACATCAAAGGGTTAAAGAGTTAGTTGTTACATGAAGTTCCAGTATTCTGCCATAAAGCGAAAGAGCAACATTTTTGTAACGCTTGGGGTAATGCTGACGTAAATGCGGCTTCGATTGACAAACAGCGTCGGTGTCTCTTTTCAAGTCTTGAGCCAACTTGAAAAAGCCCACATCTACCTAATGTGTAAGGTAAGCATCCGGTAAGGTCGCTAGGCACAAATTTCTGTTGGTCAGCAGCAGCTGATGTGACAAAACACAAAGGAAAATAAGTCATTGAGGCTGACTGAAAATGTCACCATGCTTTCATGAGTGTATTTCCTTTATACATGAGCCTGCATGGGCAGATATTAGATCATATTTTGTAAAGCTGTTGTCATAACAACAAAGCAGCATGATGGAAAGATCAGATCTGAATGTTATTTTCAAACAGCCAGCATCAGATAATTGTTTTTTTGTTCTTTTCTTTTTTTTTGTCTTAAACGCGCTCTAAAGTTGCACCTCGTATCAGGTGCAAAAATGTTCAAACCTTTCTCCGAAATACAAAAATAAGTGCAAGTTGAAGAGGAAATGAGCATCTGTTTTTAGTCGATCAAGGTTCCCCATTGTACTAAGCTATTTATCTTACACTTCCGCTTGTAAAAAAGGGAAGTAATGGTACAGGATTCTCAAACCATAGACTCCTCAGATAGTAGTTTTACCTGCATAGACTCTCCCGTGTTCTATGTTGTCTGGGATGCCCCCGATGACCAGGCCCCCCCTCTGAAGAGCCTGTTTGTAGAAGTCCTTAATGAGCTGGTGCCCTTCGCCATAGATCCCCGTTGGCCTCAGGGAGCAGGTGTACAAACACTTTCCACCTTTCACCTGGACAGGAAGCAAGGTCAGAAACCAATGTGTCAGAAGAAGAAGAAGAAGAGTGCAGCAGTGTCAAAAGGGTCGCTTCAGTGGCGGCGCAGTAAACAGCAGAGTGACGCCGTAACCACGGAAACAGATGGTCTGAAATTTAGGAGCAAAGCCGCACAAGAAACAACAACCCCTCAAATGTTTCTCTAGGCTGAAATCCAGCCAGCGTTTCACAGCAGTAACAATTTTTAAACACCCTCATATTTCTGTCTGTTTCCAGGCATAAAAAACAACTGGATTGATAATTAGAAACACAGTTTGTAAATAAATGACTGAATGGCCGATGTTCTCTGTTCGGCTTCAGTTCTGCAAGGAGTTATTTTCAGCAGCTCTGATGTGCTTCTTTTCTCCTTGCTTAGACATGAATATATGCTAATACTCTGAAAACACTGAAGCAGGAGAACTTGCTGCACAAGAAAAACGAGGAAAGGAACTTCTCTACTGTGAACGCTCTGAGATCAGTTGTACCTTGGTGCCATTAGCTTCAAGCACAATTTTCTCCGCCTTGGCTTTACTTCTGGGATAGGCCATCGTATGCTTCACTGGGTAAGGTGTGTCTTCATTGCCCCTGCAGAGAAACAAGATAAACGTTCAGAGGAGCATTCGGGAGAAAAAGCCAAAGAATCACATTTTCTCGAAATTCCTCCTGAGCGAGGAAGAGGAATGGGTTAAATGGAGCTGTTTCTCAGAGGGGAGCATTCCGCGGAAAGATGGGCTCATAAACAAACTATCTTCCGCAATGTTGTGCGGTTTTCCTTGTGCGCGGTAAAGATTCTTCTCAGCACGAGCAGGCAGAGGCTCATTCTTATGACTTAATCTTGTTGTGTCACACTGAGCTGCAGTGAAAAGGCTTTGGAGCAGCTGCAGCCACGTAGGCTCAGACTCAAACACGCACACAGCAGTGGGAGTCGTGCAGGAACAGTTAGCTGCATGTTTACCGCCACACAGATTTAGATTTTGATATCCAAACTAAAATCTGACAAAGTTCCATGTGAAACAACACAGGTCAGCCTTTTCGAATCAGAGCTTGCGGACGAACATGATCATGATTTAATGACTTGGATGGATGGACTTTAGTAAGCTAGAGCCCGATTTTTTTAACTTAAAATTTAAATGTGTGTGTCAGATGCTGGAGCAGACTCAGAAAGGCGAGTCTACAACCATAAATCTTATCAGCACCTGCAGCAGGGTACATACAGTACACAGGATAAGGTCTTTTTCTCTTCAGATGTCCAGATTTGTATCCATCTTGAAGTTAAAAGGTGGAAGCAAGAAATATTTTTGGTTGATGATAAAACTGGAGATCTGACGTCAGAAACCTGCATTTGCTGGTAATCCAAATCTCTCCAACTCGTGATTCTATGCAGCTGTCGTTTCTTTCTGTGTTCTGAGGAATATGCGAACGGACAGTTCTGGGTCGTGTTTGGATTTAAAAAAAAAAGCTTTAGAGAGTGGAGGGTTTTTTCCTTCAGAGTACTGTAAAACCCAACACTGTGTGGGACTCCTAAACACACAAAAGTTTGGTCTGTTACTTTGTTTATATTTTTCCCTTTTTACCTGGAATTGAACCTTATTTCCACCATGTCGGTAAAATCGACTGTGCACACAGTCATTTCAAACTAAATAAACAACATCAGCATGTAAAACATTAACCTGGCTCTTTCGATTTTGTCTTTATAGATCTGTTTTTTTTTTTTAGGTCACCTGCTTTTTTGCATTGCTGTTCCAAAGAACACCAGTGAGGACAGGAAAACGGTTTCCCTTTAAAGAAGAACGCAACCACGTCAGGCTGCAATCAAAATTTAGCAACACGGATCCCACAGAATTGCAGGTTTGCGTAGGACTTCCTGCCAAACGTTTGCATGCATTTTTCTGACCCATTTACACGAAACCGACACGCCAGCGCCATGCAAAATTATTTAGTCAATCAATAAGTGTAGCTTTAGAGAGAAGTTAGCGGAACAAACAGGGTGTCTGTTACGTGATGGGTGAGTAAGGCATGTCATAACTGTGAGGACGTGACATAACACCAGTCTGTGAAGCCTGTCCCGGTCAACTCCTCACAGAGGGAACAAGCCTCAGTTTTACACAAAAGGCACAAAAGGCAAGCTCCACTGAGGCTGCTGGACATTGTGTTGTTGTTTACTGTGCATGGCTGTAATACTCCGCCCAGTCATATCTCTTCTGCACAGGCCTCATGTTTTCCATGATGGTGCATTCAAGTCATGGACGAGAAACAAAGCCAGAGGGACAGCGTTCCTCACAAAGGGAGTCCAGATTGCTAACACATGGGCTGTGCTGGGCAAACACTCAGTCACCGCCAGTATATCAGAAAAGTAAACAAGTGGGCACATAATGCGTTTTTTTCCCCCCCGTCTGTTTTTCGGATTTACCTCTTAAAGTGGTCTCCATTGATGTTCGGACCAATCACTTCCATGCTGCTGGTGTAGATCAGACACTGGATACCACACTCCACACAGGCTTTGATCACATTCTCTGTCCCTGAGAGGGGAAAGAAAAACAGAATAGGAGTTAATATAAATGCTAATACGAATACAATTTGTACTTGGCATGGAGGGTTTAACTCCAGTCCAACATGTTTTACACAGCTGGAGTTCTTTTCCTTTCTGGGTTCAGGGACAGGAAACCTAAAGTTTAAAAAGGTATCTTAAGCTGGATCAAAGAGGACGATTGATTTATCAAAGTTGTAATATACTGGAAAAGATGCCCACAAGGAGTTAATAAACAAGCAACTCAAAGCGGGGATGGGATCCATATGTGTTCTGGTCCACTAAGAGGAACCACAAGAATCTGGCCCCGATTATCAACAGTTGACTCTCACTGAAGGACATCAGGTTGTTTTCAGAGTGGAAAACATTAGACCTGCTGTCATGGCATCAACATTTTTTCCTAACATCCCCAGATATTTTCCATCCTGTTTTTTCATCCACCTTGAAATGAGATAATGTTTCCATGAAAAGAAGTCTCTGTGAAGTGGAGCTGAGGACAAGAATGCTTCACGCAAACCCAAAACTGGATCCTGTCCCAGTGATGGTTATTAGATTAAACATCCCGGGAATTCCTCACTGATCACTGGTTTTCTTGATCAGGAACACTAAATTTGTCAAATGCACTATCGATTAATCAAGCCAGCCATCAAAAGCCTGCCTCAACACATTCTCCACTCGAATGTTTAAGCAGTGGCCCCTTGGCTCAGACTGAACCTATTTGGACAAGAAAGATTTCCAAAGAGAAACGGGAGGAGAGACTTCCCAACTATTTGAAGAATGTGACCAGAGCAGGAGGACGAAATATCAATTTCCACAAATATTTGCCTTTCTTTTTACGCAACAGAAGCTCAAAGTGCAGCACATCAATGCACAGCATCAGTACTAATTCAAGCTTGTAGGTTGTTCGAGAGCAGACGGACAGAAATCAAACAATCCCTCGGATCCATGAGGATGGACGAGGTCTGCTGTTTTGTTGGGACTGTGTGAGCCGACAGCTGAGTCGGCATCCGGATAACAAAGGCCTCTTTGATCCCATAAAATAACACTTTCATTCCATGCTGACTAAAGTGACTTACTGCTGCCAGTCACGATTCAGAAACGATCTACATTCATAAAATAAATAAACAGTGACTGTGTTAAGTCTAAAACATTGTCTCCTCTGTCCCTTGTTGGTGGAGCGGGGACGATAAGCAGCAGCATGTTTTCATGGATAAGGCTTTTATTTTAAATATTGACCGTCTGACCTCTTCCTCTGTGCCACAGGGCTCCATTGTTGCCGCTAACCCTTTAGATATTGGGTTCCAGTTCATTTTCATATCAAAACGCATTCACCAGGGTGAGGCTGGAAGGGATCATCTGATCATAAGTCACTTTGGATTGCGTGCTGCTCGTCATTGGCCATGCCGCATCATGAAGAAAATACAGGTATTTATTTCTGAATATGACACAGATAAAGTCACACCAATGACAGCTGCTAAAAAAAAAAAAAGCACATGATCACACCCACAGACATAAAGTCTACGGGTCTCTGACTCAGTCACTCTGTCACAATGACACAGCTCACATGTTTAAACATGTTTTAACCCAATTTGGTTTTTAATACACAACGCACTGTTTAGTGGCCCCATGACAACGGAGGAGTATCTGGCTGGTGAGAAAATAAGCTGATCAGTGTTCAGACGAATAGCAAATTTAACCTCAGTGGGAGTTCAAATCGAATAAAGACCTACAAACTGCACATGAATAAGTCATCCTGGAAACCCCACTTCACCCCACTGCTCTAAACTCTAACAATGGCCGCCACAATGGTTGACGCTGGTCATTACGAGCGTTTACTGATGGAAAACCAGTATGTTTCTGGTTAGGACTGAAAACGCATCCCCTCCTTTGGGTCCCACCTGTTACGTTGACCGAGTGGATGAGGCTCTCGGGGACCCTGTGCCAGACGTCCACCAGGCTGGCGGTGTGGATGACCACGTCGGCCCCGCGGGTCGCCTCTAGCACGTTGGCGTAGTCGGTGATGTCTCCCTGGACCACGGTGACCTTTTTCAGCTCTGTGTGGGAAACAGGAACGGTCAAACACAAGCAGGGATGGAAACAGTGAGACTTCTGAAAATCCTCACAGGTTTGGCTGGTGAGGCGGCAGGATTTTGTACTCTGGATAGAAGCTGAAGGCGGCATGAGGCACCATGCTTAACCATGGAGCCCTTTAGGCTCTAAGCTCTCTAAAAAGACGCAGCTTTGCGATCACATCCTGTGAGTTCTCAGAGGCTGCCACTACTTTGGATCCTCCAGGCCTGCTGTGGAGCCATAAAGCTGACTCCCGCTATCATGTTGAAGGTCTTCAGCCCTTGGTTTATCTTTGCTCTCAGGCCATGTCCTTGAAACGCTGATAGAGCCCTGCAGCTGGCAGGAAAAGAGACGGATGGACTTTTGACATCAGATCAGACACTCTGACGTTCTGAATAACCAAACATTTGCATTCCCTCGTGCGAAATGCAGCCTGATCGGCACGCTGAGAGGCTCAGGCGTCTGTCAGGCAGCTGAAGGCATCTCTCACAGTCAGGCAATAACACTAAATCAGAGATCTTTCATCCTGGGACAGTTGTGTCATTTTGTGGCCGGCGGCTGAGGTTGTAATTAAGTTGTGTACTGTGATTTACTACAGTTCGTTTAGAAAATTACAGCTCAAACCTGTTTAGGATTTGTGTAATGACTGTTTTCGTTTTACCAACACTGAGGAATACATACAGCCAGATCTCATGTGGGCTCCACGGAAGAGGAAAGAAAGTCTTGGTGTGATGAAAGATCAATTGCACACCATAACTGTCTGCTCTCTGTGCTGCATGTCGACCTTTACACCAGAAATGGCTGGATTGAAATCAGCCCTCAGAGCACGATTCAAGTTTTCGGTGGTTGAGTCACGATAGTTAGATTCAAACAAACAGAGACAAATACCAAACAAAGGCACCCTGCCGGATACACAATTCTGCATAAACACATGCCTTTTGCAAGAGCCATCCAACACAGGCGATGCGTAACACGAAAACGCAAAGGTTTATCCTCTAAATCTTTAGAGAGCCTTTTTTCTAATGCGGAGAGTTGATGTTTTCCAGGTCAGAAAAAGAGACTGTGCGCGTAATCCAGGTCACCTCAAATAAGCAGTTGCCCCACGCCGGACTCACCTGTGCTGAAGCTCTGCAGACCGGGCTCCGTGTGCTTGTCGAAGACCCGGACCTCCGCCAGCGCGTCCTCCTTCTCCAGCAGCAGCCGCAGCAGATGCTTCCCCAGGAACCCGCACCCCCCGGTGATCACATACACCAGACCCTGCCTCCTGCTCTCAGACATGCTGACACCGAACCGAGACAGCTGCTTCTGCCTCCGCTCCCCCTCCTTAAACCCGGTTTATAAGCCCCACAGCCGCGGGGCGGAACCTCAGAGCAAACCAAACCAGACCTACGCAGACTAGTGGCATGCAAAGACTGCCCACATGGATAAAGTGGTAAAAAAAAAAAAAAGCACAAAGAACGAAACTCTACAAATATTTTCTCATTTGATTGTTTTTTCTTTAGCAAATGTATCAATTTGTCTCATTCTTAAACATAAAAGCCACTATTATATTCATTTTCAATGCTATACATAACTGGGCCTATGTTTGATTGTTAATTTTTTTTTTTTTAGGGTGGGGTGGGGAATAATCTTGTTGTTTGGAAGATCTTTTTTTTTTTAAGTCATGGAATTCAGAGTTCAATGTTAACGTTTAGTTCTTGATTCTGAGCCAATGTTGCCCACAAGGGGTGTTACATTAACAGGATGCTCAGAGGAAGGAAGATCTGGGTTCAATTTTCTGCTGTTGTCATCCAACAGGAAGCAGGAGGTGATGAAGACATCAGAGATGAAGACCTGTCAATATATGTGTTTCTGTCTCTAACTCTGAGTTAAATATGTAGTCGTATAAAATGGGATTGTCTTTCACTTTTAGTTTTCAAGACGCCAACATTTACGAAAAATGTTTACAAAATTCTCCACCACAAAAACTCTGAAGTGCCCGTAAACAAAAGGCCTCAGGCTGGAAAAGGAAGCAGGGCAAATGAGAGAAACCACTCTGGTAAATTTCCTCCTCAACACCTCTTCCAGGTCACGGTCACGCTTCTGGGAAATGAACTTGCCTTTGCCTCTGCCTCTCTGTGGCTTTAAACAGATGTTAACATCTGCCCTGTGAGATCCCCCCCCCCCCCAGGGAAATGCTGCACGCGCTCAGTTCCGCTTCAAAACTTCTTGTATTTTTTACGCACACCTTTTAAGAGGCATTCAAAAAACACTTCCACGTTTTTAATAAAAGGTTCAACCACAGTTTTTTTTTTTATTTAAAAAATATTTTAATGCACCATTAATAAAGGGTCCAACGCATTAATACAAGAGAAATATTGCAAATAATATTAAAATCATCAAATTAAAAGGAAAAACAATAAAAAATAAATGAATGGAAGGTATGTACAGGTTTCCTCCTCATGGAGAGAGGAAAAGGAACAACATATTTACAGCTTGGAATCAGTGTGTTTCTACGAGAAACAAACACCTCTACAATATTTACACGGACTTCTTCGATTTTTTTCTTCTTTTTTTTTTACTTTTCATGTTTTTGTCTTGTAGTAAAGAGGGTATGTTCGTGTGGAAAGGCTTTCTTTGCAACGAGTGATATTTTTTACATGTTTTCCTGTTTGGGAGGGAGCAAAAAAAA